TAATAAAAAAAAATGGACATCTTAACGATATCCTTATAATAGTTATCTTTTCGAAAATAAAGGTCTCTTAAAAATAAGCGGTTTGCGATCCTGATTTTACTTTACTTGATAGAGAAAGGCGTACCGGAGAAATGTGGCAGCGCCGCAACAGCACACCGTCGCATTTTTCTCACTCCGACTTAATAAGATCCCTATGTGATTTACTTCCACACATGCAAATACCGACACAAAAGAAAGAGTTGCCAGCATGGTATAAAGAGAAACAGAAGATAATCTAAATACTATCTATATGCATATTGGTGTACCTATAGGTTCAATGTGATAGGTTCATTATGGGAAAACATTGCCGGTTCATATTTTAAAAAAAATTATAGATTGATAGAAAATTACATTAATAATATAGAAATAATACAATAAAAATACTTGCAGCAGACCAAGGTAATGATTGGGTTATTATAGATTTAGTTCAATATAAAGATATGACCGAGTCCAATACTATCAGAATCTTGTTATTAGCACAGACATTTTTTTGGCATTTACGTTTGTCTAATTTAAAATTGACCATGACAAATAACCGTAAATAACAGTTTAGACAAAGAAAATAAGTAATAAAAATATAAGTAATACAAACAGTTTAGACAAAAAAAGAAGAGTTTAATTAAACAAGTCAAAGAAATCGTCGCTTCCAAAAATGGCGACCGCTGAATAAAACGTGTTGAAAATTAGGGCTTTTATAGGAAGCTCTGCCGCTCGCAATTTTGTGTTTTTGGATGTGACCCTACTCTCATCTAAATATCCAAAAATATTTTTTTTCTAAGATTTTTGAAATTTAAAAAAAGCGGCAAGTAACATAACGTCACCATTTTGGAAGTAAAAAGGCGGCAAGTGTAAATATTTAAGTTAAAAGGCGGCATCTTTTCATATACATTCGGCTTCAGCAGTTTATTCGGCTTCAGCACTTTAACGATGGTGTATTATGCACTGGTGGAATCAATTTTGAACTATGGGTTGGTGGTTTGGGGTAGTGCCGGAGTGACAATTTTAAACAAACTACAAGTTGCACAAAAATATATTATAAAACTTATGTTATTTAAAAATAAGAGGTTCTCTACTAAATTGCTTTTCAAAGAGAGCCAATTATTAGATATTAGATAGTTACACCCTAAAGCAGTAATTAGATTCATGAAAAAATTTTCCTATTATAAAGAATTCATAAGCCATGGTCGTAAAACAAGAAATGCAGCTCAAAACAACGTCACACGTCAAAACCCCAAGCATATCATTTGCCAGAATCATATTTATTGTCTTGGTCCAAGACTTTTTAACTGCCTTCCCAACAATATTAAAGTAAAACCATACCTCTAAGTGCAAAAAAGAGTTAAGGCAATGGATACTTCAGAGCAATTATGTAGCATTGGTAAATTTGGGGAAATTTTTTAAATACCGTTGGAGAACCATTTCGGTACTATTTGTACCGAGTGCAGCTAGTACTGCAAGTAGTGTTAATGCTTATGCTGCCCTCGCGCAATATTGGCAATGAACTAGTGCTATTTTTTTCTTGAACGAGGTTAGTTGTAGTTTCACTTCGGGGCAAAGCGCACTTTACCAGTGGTATTCGCTATCAAAAAAACGACCGTTATGTGTATATTTTCAGATATGTCCTATTGTTACGAGATTTATCGCAAAATAAAATTTCAAGGTTTCATTCTTGGCAATTTGTTTTCATTAAATAAGCAACTAAGAAATCGAACGTTGCTACATACATTCTGATGTAGATGAAAATATCACCGTGTTACTTCAGTTTTACAAATATAATGTAAAAAGCTCCTTTGGCATATTTATGTAACTTCTAAAATTGAATTGGACCCAATAACGTCGATTAAATTGTTTTGAACATCTAACATGTTTTCTGATTTTTAACGCTAATAAAATAATTCGTCTCTTATTATTCATATACACTGCCTGCAAAAATAAACTTAAAACAATAGCCTACAACACTGTCGACTATTTTTTTTGTATTTTATTCTATAGATACCAAATTTTATTGTTCCTTGTGAAAAGTTTCTATATACGGGGGGGGGTAATTCTTAATTAGACCGTTGATTGAAGAAATAAGAAGATGCGCAACCTTATGGGTGGTTTCGTTGCACAATACCTGTCCAAGATGTAGCTCGCGTTACCGTCAGCGTGTCCAAGAATCACGAGATTTAGTTTAGCCCTGCGCCACTGCGCACCGATAGTCGTTTACAGCGCAGCGGATAAAGGATACTATATCGCAGTTCTGCTTGCAGTCGACAGAGTGAGTGATTGCCGGAGACGATGTGATGAATCCGTATATTTACGGATTTTGGGTACAGTACGTTAATAATACGGATTTTCTATCATTAAACATTTTAATATAATATTATATGATTAAACAGCGGCGTCAGTGTTGGCTTGGAAATGAAGATCGTTGTTATTTCATATGTAAAATATTATGGAAAATGTCAATAATCGTCATTTCCAGGCCAACTAAACGACTTTTCGATCATACGACATATTCATTACCTATACAAGAATTTTTATTTTTGTTGTTTAACAGGAATAAATTTTCAATACATAAACGCGGATTTTCCATCCAAAGATATTTTTGTCAAACGTATTACAGATATTACACACTTTAATATGACAACACTGTCGCTTTCAGATCCGACAATGAAGGCATATCGCACCGTCTTTGATATGCCTTCGATGGTCGAATTAGAGAAAATTAGTGTTTTATGCGTTGACCGCAAAGCGATTGGTGTATCCACCGTATAGCGCTTGAGACGTAACGGGAAATAAAATCAGTCTTGGTCATGAATTCGCCCATTACGTTGCGTATCTTCCCAATTCTTTCAATCAACGATTAGACGTAGGACTAGGCGACAGCCTAACTTTATTTTTCTTTTAATATCTCTTAGAGAAAAGCTATAAAGTTACTTATACAGGGTGGCGCATCTCAGTTGATTATACGAAAACGGAATGATGTAGAAACAAACTTTTTTATGGGTATATGTAGAGAGACAATGTGCATGATTTAAAAGTATTTTCAAGAATACAGGGTTGTTCACCACATACGACACGGAAGATTGTAGCTAAACGATTAGATTTTTACAAATTGTAAGTTTTGGGTATATATATATAAGGACTATTAGAGCTACAATTTAAAAATATTTTTACAAGTTACAGAGTGTCCCAAATAAATAAAAAATTTCAAAGTTGTATTTTTTTAAATGGAACACCCTGTATATTATTACATTTTTAGTTTCTACGATTAAAATAAAGGTAAATTTGATTAAGGTTTATTACACTTAAACCTTACCGTTTTTGAAATATTTTCAATTTTGTGAAATTGCAGTATAAATTTTAAGGCTTCATTTCTCCGAGGGTATCAAAGTTTTTAATACTAAATATTTACTGAAGTTTATTTATTGATCAGTTATTGTGTTGCTGTAATAAAAATTTTACTACCTTATACAGAGTGTCTAAATATTTATTTTATATAATTATTTGCTTTAAACCGCAATAACTTGTTTAATTTAAATGGAACACCCTGTATATTTTAAGAGAATCAGATGCACAATTTAATTGTCTATCAAATTGTATTATACCATTTTTTACTTATCTCTTCAATCTTCCGTAGAAAATGCATTTTCTTGTAATTTAGAACTCATTTATCAATATACCCATGGAATACTGACATTTTAGATTATTTTTAAAGATGTACCAAATTTTTAAAGAGCACAGATACTAATATTGTCAATATAGTTTTACAAAATTGAAAATATTTCAAGAACGGTAATGTTTAAGTGTAATAAACCTTAATCAAATTTACATTTATTTTAATCGTAGAAACTAAAAATTCAATAATATACAGGGTGTTCCATTTAAAAAAATACAACTTTGATATTTTTTATTTATTTGGGACACTCTGTATCTTGTAAAAATATTTTGAAATTGTAGCTCTAATAGTCCTTCAACGAACCCAAAACTTACAATTTGTAAAAATCTAATCGTTTAGCTACAATACTCCGTGTCGTATGTGGTGAACAACCCTGTATAGAGTGTATCAGAACTGAGATCCATACCAAAGTTATATTTTTTCTTATGGAACACCCGGTATTTTATTTCATTTTTGGATTGTTGGGCATAAAGTAAGGCATTTATTATAAGGGTTTAATATGTTTAAATGCTTTGGTTTTTGAGATATTTAAATAAATTTAAATATGCATGCTATAATAAAAAAGTTTGTCATGTGATGAAGAACACCATGTATATTACTTTTCAGAATTAATTCATGTGCTGACTTTGAAGCTAGAGAAATAAATGTATATTTATTTTTAGTTTTTTAGTTTTTTTATTATAATTAGTTACCTATAAGTTTAATTGTGTTAACCCAAACTATAGTTATCCTTGTTTTAATAAAAGCAAATTTAACCTTCCTTCGGCACTTTATTTTATAAAATAGAGCAAAACACACTACGCCAAGAAAATATAATTTTTATTGATGACAATAGCAATATATATTTAAAATGTCTTTTTAGAAAAATCCCGTTTTTTGATTGGGCAAATTATGCGCCCCCTAGCGGACATTTTTCGACCTTGAAAATAATTCATGACATTTTCTGGTGTAGAAGTTTATGCAAGGCAATCACGCTATATCATTTACACTTCAAATACATATAATATCATATAATTTATCATATATATATCATTTACGTTTCTGTATACGATTCTGGGACAAGACAGTAAAAACCAGCCCTAGCTGCATTGTATTATAATAATAGCCCACTTTCCCTCGTGAAATTATACATAATATCGATAGGAAAAATAATACAATTTGCAATAACATGATAGTCATCATGAAAAATGTAAATGTAAATAATGTGTAGAAGTAGTTTCTTAAAATATTGCAAAATGTAAAAAAACTATGTGGTAGATGATTACATATTTATATTTTTTATAAATTTATTTACTAGGATTTAATGGTCCACCAAATTTTGGTAATGGTCCTAATTGGGGCCCACCTGGAAGTGTAGCAGGTGGACCACCAAGCCTTATGGGTGCTCCTGGGGGTCCACCATTTGGAGGTCCTATGATGAATGGGCCTCCTACAAGTGGTGTAAATAGTGGGCCGGTTCCGAACAGTGCATCATCAAATCAGTTTCCAGGTTCATCTACAAATTCTGGTGTAAGTTTTAGATATGTTTATTTAAAGTTGATATTGTATTATTATTTCTTTTAGGCACCGGTTATAGATCCAAATTCAGAAATATGGGTAGAGACAAAAACCGCTGAAGGAAAGTCATATTTTTATAATGCTCGATCAAGGGAAACAACTTGGACTAAACCAGAAGGTCCAAACATAAAAGTTATATCACAGGTAAATATATATTATATATTTTTATGTTATATTTATTAAGAGACCACATTCTTGATTACAAGACCTTTAATATTATTTAGGATCAAGTTGAAGCTATGGCTCAAGCAGCAAACACTGGCATTCCACAAAATACATCAACTGCTGCACAAGCTGCTTTAGCTCAAGCAAGTGTGACTAACAAACCAGATGGTACTACTATTTTGTTTTACTGTTAGAGCTGTTACTTATATTTATATTTTTATAGAATCAGATGAGTTGCAAGATTCTTCCGCTAAACCCATTGCTCCTAATAGTCAACCACCACCTTCCAATCTAATGCAAGGTCCGCCACCTGGTATGCCATTTGGGCCACCTCCTGGCCAGTTTCCCCCATTTGGAATGCCACCATTTGGTATGCCACCTCCAGGACAAGGACCGCCAGGTGGATGGGTGCCGCCAGGTGGTGCTCCTTGGAATATCCCCTCAGGCATTATTCCACCAAGTAAGCAACTTACATTTTATTTGTCAGTTCTTAATTTTGTGGGTTCTGTTCTTTTGAGAAAATGCATTCTTCATAAAAAAAATTTTGCTTGTTCCAAAATGGTTTCCAAAATTTCCATACAGTTTTAGAGAAAATTAAGAAAAACATGAAAATATGGTTGAATTTTTTCAACTATGGCGTAATTGGCGTAATGGCGTATTCTTTGCTGTTGTTAAAGAATCAAATTTTCCGAAAACCATCCTCGTCTTTTCGATAGCATTAAACTAAATAAATGTTCTGCTTCTTTTATCATTTTAAGATAACAAAAAATATTACGTTGAATAAAATTCTATAAATTCAACCATATTTTCATGTTTTTCTTAATTTTCTCTAAAACGGTATGGAAATTTGGAAAAGCATAAATTGTTCCAAAATGGATTAACCATTTTGGAACAAGCAACTTTTTTGTGAAGAATGCATTCCTCTTGTAAAGACAATCAGGAGACATACTGTATACATTGTTGGCTAGACCGCAGCTCTTAACAGTTCTTATAACAATTTCAGTGAATATTCCCAGTGCTCTGCCAGCTATTAATGAAGCTGAAGTCATGTCAAAAATTGATCCCGATATAATAGCCAAGGCCTCTGAATGGACGGAACACAAAGCACCCGATGGACGTTTTTACTATTACAATGCCAAAAAATCAGAGTCAGTCTGGGAGAAACCTCAGCCTATGAAAGATCTGGAAAGTAAGTTTTATGTGGTTTTAGAAGTGTTTTCTTTTAATAATCGCAGGTATTTTGCTAGCGGCCAAACTAGCTGCTGCTCAAGGTATTTCAACACGATCAACCGACGCTGGAACTGCTCAGAGTAATTCAGATACAGGTAAGGTATCTAGTACACCAGCAGATACATCCAAGCAAGAGACGCAGCAGGACAAGGAACAGGAGACCAAAGAGAAATTGGAGAAAATACAGGAGGAAATTAGGAAGAAAAAGGAAGAAGAGGAAAAATCTAAGGAGCAGAAGGCACAAGATAAGTCACGCCCAGTGTCTAGTACTCCAGTTCCAGGTACACCATGGTAAGTTAAAACTATAGTGAATTCTACTGTAATTGTTGTGTATTATTTATAAAGTACGATTTGCCCAATTTTTAATATATAGTATAAATGTGCCCGGTGGCGTAGAGGTACAGCTCTCGTCTACCAATCTAAAGGTTGTGGGTTCGAATCCTGCAGCCGGCATTTCATCAGCCGACTATTTTTAATAAAATAAAGATAGTTTGGGTACCTAGGTCGACTCAGCCTTAAATGAGTACTTGGAATTCACAATACTGAGGTAATAATAGGCGGTTGAAGCGTAGTGCTAGCCACATTACTTTCCTTGTATGCCGAACGGCTCTAGGGCAAGCTGTACCTTGTTACTCCCAAAGCGTTAAACGCTATACAGAGAAGACCAGGCTACTAGTAACATAGCAAGTTGCCGGACGAATTTACGTTTACCCGATTTGCGTTCGTACTCGAGATTCACTGCCGGCTAGTCGGCTGGTCAGGCAGTACGCAGTTACAGTTGTGCTTGGACGGGTCGGTCGTGACACTAGGAATACGACGCAAGGAGTGCCGAATATTTATTATTTTCATTTTAAGTGTTTACCTTCACTTAGGGTAACATTTAAAATAAAAATACTTAAATATTTATTATTTGAGTGTGTTTACAAGCCAAAACTAAAAATAAATAAATTCTCTAAACCAAAAAAAACTCACATATTACTCTAAATAAAAAAAGTTATAACAAGTGTTCAAAAAGACCACCTTCTTGTGCTAGACAGAAGCCTAGGCGGTCGTAAAATCCCCGTCTGACATTGGCTAACATATAAGGTAACCGAAAGATTAATTCGGTCATAAGATGGTATACTCTTTCATTGGTAGTTTCAGGTGGTGATATACTCTTTCATTTTGTTATTTCATGTTTTAAATAATAATAATTATAATGTTTATTTACAATTTCTTTTGCGTTTTTATAATTTACAATATTAAATAATATAACTATCTAAAATTAAACAGAAATATAATATAATAATTAAACAGTTTTATTATAACAGTAGTAAATAAACTGAGATTAAACTCACTAAAGTTTAGGTAAAGTATACTGGGGTGTCTGCGCAGAAAGCAACAAAAAGAAATGAAGAAAAAAGTACTAATGAAAGGTTGTCTTTGGCCTTTAATATGAAAATTTTGAAGACAATGAGATCCATAAAACTATACTTTTGCGTATATTTTTTAGTTTTAATTTAGAGAAACGTCTAGATACACCCCAACAATATATTCCGGAAAGCTTCGCGCTTGCGCAATAAGTGCGATTGGCATTAGCCATGACCGTACTTTAATGCTTTTGCGGAGGAACTAAGTATAGCCTGTAACAATAGCCTGGTTACAAAAGCAGCTTTGGCTCCATTGGTAAGGCAGTCGTTTCGGGACCGAGGGGTCCCAAGTTCGAGTTCATCAAATATAGAATTTTTTGTTTACAGCTGTCGGCCATAGCAATAAAAACACGCCCTGTTTTGATTGCCTTGGTTAATATGTGTGGTTAATTTGTTTTTGTTTAGATTGCACGTGAAATACCCGACCCAAAACCGAGAATACGCTTGCGCGAAGCTTTACGAAATATATTGTTGAGGTGTACCTAGACGCTTGTTTAATTTAGTAGCTATTTTAGTGGTTATATTTTTAGCAATGTTAATTTCTTACCTTTAATTATAGGTGTGTTGTTTGGACTGGAGATGGGCGTGTGTTTTTCTACAATCCTTCTTCTCGTACATCAGTTTGGGAGAGACCTGAGGAACTTTTGAAACGTTCAGATGTGGATAAAATGGTTGCTACGCCTCCAGACGCATTAGCTTCAACTGTTTCCAAACCAGAAGAATGCAAAACACCAGTAAAAACTAAGAGAACTTCGGAAGATAGCGATAGCGAAAAAGAAACCCCTGCTAAAAAAATGAAAACCGATACTGGTTCTAGTTCAACACGTAAGTTTATTATTTTAATTTGATATATTAAAGTTCTTTTTGAAGTGTAACTTCTTTACGCGCGATCGGAGTAAATGTGAGCAACGGTGCACAGAGTCCCATCCTGCAAAGTTGGATACGACGTTTCGTTTCTCATCGATCTTCATCAGGGTGGGACTAAGGATTTAATTTTAAAGAAAAATTCTAACTTAAGATAAGATCAAAGTTGTTAAGTTAAGTTACAGAATTTTCCAGAGCAAAAAAGTTACAGCGATTTGTTAAAAATGCATATTTTTGAAAAACACCACGTAACTCCGAAACGGTAACAGATATCGATATGCGGTTTTCACCATCATGTTTTTGACAAAAATTGAGCTCCAGACGCCGATTAGTTTTCGTCCGTCTATAGAAAAGGGTGTCTCCCTTTAAAAGTTTCCAATTTAGCCCACCCTGTACATTATCACAAATAAAGTCTGCATGATACCAGATTTTTTTATTAATTAATTTACGTCAAATTTAACCTTGGCGTAGTTTTTGCTTTGAATTTTTATTAATAATGACATAATAACAGTTAACTTATTTCTCTCCTCAAAATGCGTTTTTTGTTTTCAATTTCGCCTTGTATATCATAAACATAGCAAAATATGACAAGGATAGTAAAAATGTAACACATAGTATGTACAATTTGATGTATTAATAATTGTAACCTATATTTTTTTCAGCTGTAACTAATGGAGCATCAAATACAAAGAAGATTGATATAGGTAAGGAAGCTGCAATAGAAGCAGAAGTGAGAGCGGCAAAGGAAAGAGCGGTAATACCCTTAGATACGCGCATTAAGTTATTCAAGGAAATGCTGGCTGAAAAACAGGTATCAGCTTTTAGCACATGGGAGAAGGAATTACACAAAATTGTTTTTGATTCTAGGTGAGTGAATTATATTATACTTTTATCAAAGCATATTCAATACCCATATAGATATTTTGTAGTAATATATTATATGCATAATGTGAGATGACACAGTGGTAAAGAGGATATGTGCACAACAAATTATACGCGGGCTCTGCGAAACATGCCGAGATATTTAACTGGGAATTGAATAAGACGCGGTTAAACATTTTACTTTAATATTAGGGTTATCTTTTGAAAGTCACATTTTTTGTCTATCATTAAAAATGCTTGGGTTCTGTTTTATTGCAACATTGATATGTAGCTACATTTGTGCTATATTTTTTTGTGAATTAATAATTTGTATATTGTTGATGTTGCTAAGTTTGATGACATAATCTGGTGTTTTATTATGTAGTGAATAAACATTCTAAATTTTTAAATTTAAAATTGATTAGAATACCTATATAAATAAAAAATGCGTTTTACTGGAGAACGTTTAAGGAATACACTCTAAATTAAATGTTTAAATACAATTTATAAATAACAAATAATAAAAAAAGTAATAAACAAATACAATTATTACAAAATTATGATATCAGTTATGCTCATTTGATGGAATAAGCAACAGGGCATATCTAATGAATAATATTCTTAATGTATAGTGTTTCCAACGACAAGATCCTTGACAGTGATAGACGTGTCTGTCATTTTAATTTTAAAGTAGTTTATTTTATTTTACAAAGAAATAAGTTGGTACAACTGGAATGCATAGCAGGAAATTAATACATTTAAAATTTGACTGATAAGTGATTACTTCAAAATATTGTGAAAAAAAACTGTATAAAACTGAAAAAATGCAATAGAGTTTTTTTATTTAAAAAAACGGTATGTGTTAATACAAAACAAACAAGAACAAAACACCACATACCAAAAAAATATAAAAAAGAACTATTTCTTTCTTTCAAGCTTCAAGAAACTTCCCGCATTTATTATTATATTTATCAATATAACTTATGTAGAGATACAAATTTGTAATATTCCACAGGAATAAATGAAACAACATAAATAAAACAAACTATTTTATTAATAATAACACTTGCCAAATTTTATATCTTAAAGGTTGATTAATTAACTTTAATCTTAATTTTTTTAAACCAGTACCTTTTGACATTATTTTTCTGCAGTACTAAAATCCATTATTTACCTATCTTGTGAAGTCGATATTTTACAGCTACTCCAGTAGTATATGTTTAGTACGATCTTTGTAGCATATACGAGATGCACTTATCTACGACGAGATGGTATACAAACTTTATTGATGGTAACTTTATTGGTGTATAAGACTTTCTCCCTGGGCAGCGAGTATTAACTATAAACTGTGCTCTGGGTCTACAGTTAATTTTCCTTCGATTTTTCCTCCACTTCAAAAGCCACAAAACACACGTAATAAGTAATAACATGAATCAAAATGCATCATCTTCCAAAACGCAGATATTTGACATAAGTTGACACAAAATTATAACCTATAATTTGCAAGACTTTGACAAGCCTCAAAAATCTAAAGGCCAGTTCATACGCATCGGCGTTCATCGTTCCGTCAAACCAATAAAATTGAAATATGATCTGTCATTTTTGAAATAAACCAATAAAACTGGTTATAAACAACGCATGACGGATTTACATTTAAACCCATTCATAGTTAACTTAAAAAATATTAGAAACTTTGTTTAGTAAAATAAATAGATTGGTATGGGACGTCATCTGCTTTTCTTCTGTCATCGTCTGTCGAAATCTTACCTGAGAAAAAAAAACAGAGTATACCCGACACTGCTTTAGTGTAATTTTGGATATAATTTTACTTCATATGTTAAATTTATTTTGAAATATTTTGTTTTTAACTTTTTTTTGGATGTATGTATTCGGTTTTTACAGCGTCCTTCATCGCCCTCCAGTCTCTATGCGCCACCTTCGTCTGTTGTCCCGATCTCCTGGTAGTAGGTTCCTTTCCGACATGGCTCTGTTGATTTGTTGATTCCAGGAAAGCTTAGGTCGGCCTCGTTTACGTCTGTCTATAGGTGTCCACTGCAACACTTGTTTTGGTATTCTGTCGTCAGACATGACCGTACCACTGCAGTTGTTTTTCTTATATATCTTGTACAATGTTACCTTCCACCATCATTTTTTCACGTATTCTCTTGTTCCTAATTCTGTCTAAACGGGAGATTTGGGCTGATCTTCGCCAGAAGTCCATTTCGGTCGACAACATTCTTTCTATGTTTTTCGCTTGACTGTCATAATCTAGCTCTATGTAGCCATATAACATTACGCTTTTCAGAATCGCGTTATAGATCAGTTTTTTTCTGTGATCCTAGCTATCCCTAGACCAAAGCACCGAGTTTAGCGCTCCTATCACCTTTCTGCCTTAACCAATCCGTTCTTCGATATCCTTTTCGCATCTCCCTTTGCTTGCCGATTTTTACTCCTAAACACATATATTCTTTGCAAGCTTCAATTTTTATATTATTTAATACTAGGTCTTCTTTTTTTAAATACCTTAGTATACTGGGTTTATTATATCACTCTCAGCTTAAATAGATCTCTCAGATAAATATCTTTGCTAGTTTCGTGCTCTTTTATGGCAGTGTATAATGCAAAATATACAATAATAGTAAACTAATAAAAAATACGATTCTTATAAACTTCTCTGAAGATTGATTATTTAAAACAATAAAAATATGCGGATTGTTAACATTAATATTCTTTATTTAAATTACACAATTTTTTACACTAAACTAATTGATTTTAAAAGTCTACAATGAAATATTAGGACTTTTTAAAGAGAATATAGTTTTACATCTGGTTATTTTTTAAAGTATAATTGATAAATTAATGATTTTATTGTATAAGTAATTGAAACAGGCAAAAACATTTTCCAAAAAAGAAACAGTCCAACCAAAAAAACAACTCAAAATTTTAATTGATAATTGTCAAAATCAGTTTAGGCTATTTCAAAAAAATATTTATTTTTAGGTATTTACTATTAACATCCAAAGAAAGAAAGCAAGTGTTTGAAAAGTATGTAAAGGAAAGAGCTGAAGAAGAGAGAAGAGAAAAAAGAAACAAATTAAGAGAGAGAAAAGATGCTTTTAGAAAACTTCTTGGTGAGGCACATTTACATGGCAAGTAAGTAATGTCTTATATTTTCTCCCTAATTAAAATATAGTAAAAGTTTAAAAAAAATGTTTATACAAGTCGTAATATACAAGGTATTGGGTGTCGACAATGTACATTCTCGACGAAGTTGAAATAATGTTTTTTGCTATTATAGCAGTGCGTTTAATATAATAATAAATTTGTATTTTTGCTTCTTTTGCAGATCTTCATTCAGCGATTTTGCTCAAAAATACGCCAAGGAGGAACGTTTTAAAGGGGTAGAAAAAATGCGCGAAAGAGAAAGTCTATTTAATGAATTTCTAATTGAGGTACGGAAGAAAGAGAAGGAAGAAAAGTTTCTAAAAAGAGAAGCGGTAAGTCACTTTGTGTTTAAATTAAAATATTACTTTTCGTGTAGTAATAATATATTAAGAGTTGCTTCCTTAATATATTGTTATCTAGACACAACCGAATATATATTTTAAATATATGTCTTCTCATAATGGGTACACGTCTTAACTTGCGAGCCAAATAAAAAGGAGACATTATAAAAGAAACCACTATAATAAAAAAAACAGAGTGGCAATAAAACTTGCAGTAATGGTAGCTATCATTTTTCCTTGTGTCCACATATTACAGCACAATATCCGCAGGTACTAACTCCTCAGTCGTTTTATAAAGATAATTGCTATTATTTGTTTTAAAAAAGGAAAGTGGTATATAGTCTGTGAACCGAATAACTTTGAATTTGACAGTTCCCGCGGGCTTTTCTAGTGTTAATTTTATTAGGTTAGCAACTTGCGGCCATGCTGACGCAATGCCGTCTTTAATAGAACAGCTTCGGAGCAAGATTTATGATGTCATGCTAGTTAGATACTACGGATTAATAAATATGTTGAAAAAAATAGTGTCGAATATAATCCAAAAATTACATATAACATATTCACAACCTAACCTAACACCACATAGTGTTTACTGCAATTAATAAACTAATATAAACTTGTCAAAAAATGACCACATATTTTTTTAAATTATTATTTTTAACACTAAAACTATCTACATTGACTATGGCTGAAATCGTACTCAATAGTCAATGTAGATAGTTTTAGTGTTAAGAATAATAATTTTAAAATATATGTGGTCATCGTTTGACAAGTTTATATTGGTTTTTTAATTGCATTAAACATTATGTGGTGTGTGATGTGAATATTTTATATCTAATTTTTTGGATTATATTCGACACTATTTTTTTCATATGACACAACACTGATGAAGGCTATAATGTAGCCGAAACGCTTTTTTTTTAAACAAATAAAAATAATGAAAAACCAAATGAAAAATTAATTAGCGTTTTTCCCGAACCTAAATCCCGAGAAAATCAAAAATTTGAGAATAATTTTACATATAAAATGACAGCTCTCTTTATTTCATAGCCATCGCTGACGCCTTTTTTTCTATGATATTGTTAATACAAAAATAATTTTGCAAATATAATTTTTCGAACATTGATACTTGCAAAATATACATATAAATTTTGTGAATGCAAATAATAATACATCACTATTAGTAGATATTGAATGTTTTTTGTTAAATTAGATCGATTTTCAAACCCCAAAATTTAAAATATATTTTACATTTTACCCATTATCTTATGTACCTATTCATTATTTGTATATTGTAAAACATTTTCTGCATTTGTATGATTGATAGTTTATTTGCCAAAGTATTTATTACTATAAATTGGTATATATATATATATATATATATATATATATATATATATATATATATATATATTGTATTTATTAATTATATATTATGTATATTTCATGTAAACTATATCATTTTTAAAATACAAACCAAAAATACGAGGAATAATTATGTTTTCCACGTATTCTACAACATATTATTTATTAATCCGTAGTATCTAACTAGCGTGACGTCATAAATCTCGCTCCGAGGCTGTTCTATTAGAGACGGCATTGGTCTGATATTTAGAAATGTCAAAAGCTGATGACATTTTACTTTTGACAATTATAACATTTCGTGTTGATTTTTGCAAGAGGAAGAACTGTCACTTGTTTTATAATTTTCCTTTTCTATTTCACGAAAGTAAAAAGAGTTACCTATCTGATTCGTTCAGGCACTCAAATTAAAGAATATCAGTAAATTTTTTGACAGAGGGATTTTATCTTAGACAAGGAAAGAGGGGGGACAGGTAACACGCTAGCTAAAAGTGAGGCAAGTTGTCACCACCCGAAATTCTCCAATGGCGTAGCATCAGAAATTAGCTTGTACCAAGAACGGTAAACTAATAGAATTGCTCATCCTCATAAGACGTACGTTCGCCTTTTCCCGCGCTTCAGTTGACAGTTGTGACGTCATTGTAGCCCTTGTCAAAGCCTTCGTGGCCTTGTCATGATAGTGTGTATTATTAGTTGCCTATGGTAAACTTATAAAAGTAACAACTGAGAAATTTTGAGTTAATTATTTTGTCAATTTTAAATGTGAAAAAGGTGTCTTTAAAGTTTTTAGAGCTATAGAGTGTATAAATACGTTCATTTTGTGTTGTGGATTGTGACAAAGTGCATACTAAGTGCCCACGATTTTGTTTATTAATTATTTTAAAGCAAAATATGGAAGTACTCTAAAAAGAATGCTTGCAAAAGGTGATGCTGGGAACTGCTGTTCTTAAAAACGCATTATCCGAGTATTTAATACAATTTATACAGTTAATTTTCTATACTGCTTACATATAAGGTGTTTAAATAAATAAACTAAATAATGAACGTTTTGCATTCGGAACCAATAATGCACGTGTGTGTATTATTGGTTGCCGGATAAGGACTAATAACCATGACAAGGGCTACAATGACGTCACAAAGCGAGTAGTTTTCGCATGCACCTGGCGGACACTTTTGGCTGAATGAGCAGTCCTATTAGGTTTACCTAGACGGTACAAAATATTTAGTAAAACGTAAACTAATATATCCTTCATTTTGAGTAATGCATGTACAATTTTGTATTTTATAGTCTCACCTTTATAATATTAGAATATCTAAGTCGATAATGCAAAATTTATTTAACAGTCACAGTGGACTGATTATCAAGACAATTATTTTTTATTAACGTGTGTATAATGTATAATTAAATAAAAAATAATGTAATAACATATATTTTAAACGTGTATATACATATATATTGTATGATCGGAAAAAACGGCGTCTTGTTTGTTTAGAAATGACAATTTCACAAATGAATGTTAAAAATTACATTATTCATTGAATATTGAATCCGTAAGCAAGTGTGAAGAGAATTGGCTAGATTCATTATTATACCGTATAATCAAAAAAAAACGACGTCCAGTTGGCTTGTAAATTACGATCGATGACATTCCCCATATAATTCTACATATAAAAGGACATAAAAACTATACAAAAAGACATCGAAAAAAGACGGCGTCAGCGATGGCTATGAAATGAAGATCGCTGTCATTTTATATGTAAAATTATATGGGGAATGTCGTCGATCGTCATTTACAAGCCAAAAGGATGTCGTTTTTTTTTGACCATACGGTATAATAATGAATCTGGCCATTACCCTTCACACTTGCGTACGGAGTCAATGAATATTGTAATTTTTAATATTTGTTACCTTCAATCATAAGAATATCCTATTTTTAAGAATATCCGAATTTATTCACACAAAAATAAAACAATTCTAGAAGCTTTGTGTTATTTTATTTATTTTTAAATGTTTATTAATTACTCACTGAAACTATTATTATACACTTAAATTAGCAAATTTTTTGAAAGAATATTTAAAAAGATATATGTATGTAGTAACAAGTAGCCCACCACAAGTTTGTCCACCCCCAACAAATCTTGGCAGGTAAATTTAAGTTTTATATAACTATACATATAGATTTTTTATCACTAGAATTTTTCATTTTTTATAGTTTACAATTATTTTACTTATTTGATAACAATACTTTATACATTTTTTTACATGTAAAATATATAAAAATATGTTTATTGCAGAAATTGTATTTCTCTGATTATAATTCCCTACGTCACTGGTGAAATCCGGTCTGTGTAGCAATATTTATAGTTTCAAACATTAATTATAATACAGGATATTGAAAATACTACTTGGAATTATTAAAAATAGTTTGGTTTGGATGTGGTACAAGACATATTAAAAGCATTTTACATATTTTTACTGCTATAATGAAAAAATGTACATTTTATGACCACATAACAAAAGTTGTGTATCGATTTTTACCTGTGAAATGTAATTTCAGCCGCTTTTTTCTCGCTTCGGCCTTTGCAGCCATACTCTGAACATCTCACCATACTAAATAACACAGTTTAAAAATTTAAAACAAAACAGTTGTCAAAAAAACATAAAAATTCGCTCGGTGTCACCTCGAAATCTTGTCACCAAAGTATGGCCGCCGATCGAATTTTGGCCTCACTATCCGATCACGGGAGAATATGCGTGTTACCCGTCCCTTCTCTTTCCTTGTCTAAGGATTTTATATTTTCCATGTTGGTAAAAAATAACGATCAAAATTCAAAGTTATTCATTTTATAGACTATGTTTCATAAAGAGAAAATATTAATGTGAGTTTATATGCGTCCGTCATGCGTTGTCGGTGTTTCCCTCACATCAATAATAATTAAATACTGCTGTCATTTTAGAAATAAACATCAATAAAACCTAAATGATTAAGCAAAACACTTATATGGTGAGGGTAATAATATGTGAAATTATATTTTATACTGAATATGGTAATTTGAGTGCTTATTTGATGTCCGTGTCTACTTTTTCCTGTAAGCAGGTAAAATATTTTGAGCATCTTTTCTACCATATTCATATTTTCTTAAACACTGACGTGCGCTGTTAATTTTACCTTGTGTACATTTAAATTACAAAATAATAATATAATAGTTTACTATTTTGGAAAATGCCATATCAGAAAAAAGTAATGAAATTATTGTGATTATTTATTATTTATTCTCTCGTTTTAAGAAACATAGTATAACTACTTTTGTTACAAGTTCTATTGCCATATAGCATAATAAATGTAATTCTATAATATCACAGAGTGTCATTATGATGACGTCACATAGCATTACAGGCTTTGCCAAAAAGTTCGCAACGTTCTTGAATTAATGAAAACGGTCATAGACAAATTACAAAATTCTTTAATACATAACCAGCTTAAAGGAAAAATATCAAAGAGAAAAGTTATTTAAAATTTGATTTTACGTCTATGTGTAAAGTTTCGTCAATATTCAGGGAGTTTAAAAAATCATCAGTTTTTTATGGTTTTTCAAAATAAAATAGTTTTTTTTATTAATAATATAAG